CAAAACCTTGCCACACAAACCCAATACATAAACACACACAAAATTAGAAAAAACAGTACCAACTGATGCTGTGTGATAGACCCGACTTAAAAACATATTAAGCGTAGCTCAGGCCACCTGTGCTTTCATGGATTTTTCTCAGCTTTGTTTGGAAAGGAATATGGTAGAGAAATCAAAGTAGACCTGTAGCAACTTCAGCACTTGTTTTCATTCTTTTTAATGAAAAGGTAGCTGGAAATGCAAAGCCATACTCATGCACCTGCTAAAATGAGTCGTCCATTTATTTTGTTCAATTTTAAATCCCAGTGTTAAGGCATGGTACCAAAAGTAGTCCTCAGAATCCCTGTTAAGTCTTAGCACTGGGATACTGTTTTTTCGCTTTTTCTCACCTACATTTGGACAATTTCTTGTTACAGCTTTTTCTAGAAGAAATTTTGTGAACTGCCTGTTTCATAAGAGGAGGTAGAGTCTTTTGGCAGCTGTGTTTTAAGTGGGAATAATTTATCTTCTATTAGAGTATTTCAATGCATAACTGCTGGGAGAAGCTGTTAACTATGCAGAGTGCAACCAAAAGTGTGAAGTGAAGGGAACATGAACAGCAAATTAATGTGCTGCACTTATGCTAGACAACATTTCCAGTACACAAAGAAAGGGTTTATTAATTCTGATACTTGTCTCTGTGGGAAATAAGGGCCTACAGGGAAGAAAGGTTATGATTGTTATATACAGTAAATTTCTGAAAGATTTGTGTTGACTGGCTGTTTATGCTTCAAACAAAAGTCCTGTTTTTTCCACCAATTGTCCCCCCCCCCTTTTTTTTTTTTTTTTTCCTTAGGGAATATACTATTTCCACGGGACTGAAGCAGTGCAGCAGTCGTTTCACTACAAGGTCTGTTAAGCTGATCAGCCGTGAGACCTGGCTGGAATGCATAAACCCCAAACAGTGACTAGTTTAAAAGCTTTAACTTGTGTACAATTCATGTCTTGCTGGAATTTGAAGACCAAGCTACGACTTACAGCACTGAGATACCATGTTATTTTTCTGCTGAGTTCTATGGAAGTCTGCAGTATTTCGGAGAGTATTGCATAGTAAATATGAGTTGCTGCTAGCCACAATTAAATACTCTTAATCATCTTAGATATCTTTAAAGCTACTATGTTTAAAAAATAATTATCAAAGATCTATAGCTATTCGCTATTAACTATGACAGAAATCTGGTAATTATAAGTCTCCTTGGATATGTCTCCATTAGTGAGGAAATTAAAATACAATATTGAGTAATGTTTGTTCCTGCCTAAAAGCTTTGCTACTCTTGGCATATGGAAATTGCTTTAGATCAGAAAGCTTGAATGGCAAAACAAATGGACTGATACCCTATGTACAAATCCTTTAATTTCCTAAAGCCTCAAAAATGTCATCCTTGCTCCAAAGCCCTACACCAGATGTTTAGCAGTCTTGCAACTTGTAGTGCCTTTGGCCTCAGAATAGTTTCCTTGTCCCTATTAGATTATCAGGTGGCAAATGTGTTTTCAAAGTTGAGAGTAACAGAGATGCAGGTTTCGAAATGGAAAATTTATTTTTTCTAGTCTTCAAATGTGCAGACTGTTAACCAGGTATCTTCAAAAACAGGATCAGATTGAATTCAAGAAGCCAGAGCTTGTTGGAAGGTTGGTATGCCCTAGTGGGAGACTTTCCCCAGGAAAAACCTTGAGGTGTAGTCATGTTAGGAGATAACGCGTAATTATTGACCTAACTTTATCTAAGTCAATACTGAAAAGGGAGAGAAACTCTAACAGTAACCAACATCTCTGTGTAGATACCACAGGTAAGCTTGTTCCTCTCCCAGGACTGCTTTTGAGAAAGCAGAGCTGCAGGTGGATGAGGAGGATGGGAACAGGCTGTCTCTCACCGTGCAGTCAAGGAATTCAGGTTCTCAGAGTTGAAGGTTCTCGCATTGTGTAGTCCTTGGTGTATGTCCATCCTTTTTTTGACAACAGGCCTACTGGTTTCCACATAAAAACCCAAAGATATCTGTGATATGATAGTGTTCAGATTTTTCATATGCGTTTTTATATGAAGGAAGATCTATTTCCATATATTTTCCATATATATAGATATTTTCAGTTTGAAAAAGAATTCACATAGCAGAAGAAATTACTGGCTTTGAACTGCTTGTACAGATTAACTTAGTAAAAAATTTGAACTAAATACTAACAGTCATAAGAACTGAACTATTCTGTAAAAAAAAAAAAGTAGTATGCTTAAGATTTCTTGGGACGTTCCTGTCTTTTTGTCTTCTTCAAAGACAAGAAATCAGTATCAGAACATGGGTTCTGGAGATTATTTGCTTTAAATGGGTTTGATTTTTCTTTCAACAAGCTTTAGTCTATTTAGGTTGTAAGTCTGCATCCTCCTTACTATGAAAAATTGAGGTGGGGTGCCTAAATACCTTTTAGATTTTGAAATAGGAGAAACTTAAATTCTTTAGATCTGGTCCTAGTTGCAAATAAGCAGAGGTAGAGCTCAAACAGTTGTGGAATTAATTTGTGCGTGAGGCTGTCAGTAACCTAGAAAGGGTGTCCTATAAATTCTGGTCTGGAGAGGTTATTGTGTTGGACACATACTTCACAGGCATTAAGTAGATTTAAGTCCAGAATCTCATTTGTTAGTTACTTCATTAAAACTTCCTAGGCACCATTGGCCAGTATCTGTCAGCTTAAGATGACATCTGAAATCAGTCTTTGGTTAATGAAGAGTCCGTACTCGGTGCCGCGAGGTGTTGTGAGGGTGTCTGACTCTTCTGTTTGTCACCTGCTGCCGGCAAAGGGGTGGCCGCAGATCACGGCGAGCACCTCTGCAAAAGGCTATTGAAAAGCACAAAAAACACGATAGGTGCATCCTTACCGGAGCAACATTGTCTGAATTGATAAAAAGATAGCAAAAGAATGAAGTTAGAGTTCTGTATCCGGTTCTTAATGACTTTAATTTCCTCTCAGTCTTGAGCTTCTCCCTATTGATGCTTTTCTATAAAGCTAGTCCTTTTCCTTCACCAAAAAAAAACTCTCTTGAAGCAAGCGGCAGCCGTGTTTCAGCTCCAAATAGAAGTGTTTTCTCCCATTTCTGCTATTTCAGAAAGTATCCAGTACCAAAGTCTAAAATAATGTAACTGTTTGCAGATCGGGATGTTAAAGTGGGGAATGAGCGATCAAAAGACTACGTGACTGCCTGCATTGCTTTCAGAAAAAATGCAATTCACGTAACTGGTACTGGGTTTTAGTAAGGGCAGCGTACTGTGGAAGAGCCTAGTTTAAGAGAGCTTTCTTTACTGCAGTTTTAATGCCTTGATTGTGAACATAATCCACATGGAAGCTCTTGGTCAGCACCCTCACAAGTGGTGGTAAAAATGAGAGTGGAGGCATGTCCTGGAAGATAAAATTAGTAATGCTGTCTTCCTTCAGGATCGATTTCTCCACGTTAACATCTTTCATGTCAAACGGAAATGATTTGTGTAAATGTCCGTCGGTGTGATGCAGCTGGAAATGGCGTTGATTGTGAATAGGATTAACAGCAGCATCCAAAACTGAGGCATTAGGAAGAGGGTCACTGGAAAAGATACTGTATCAAATGTCCCATTTTTTTACTGTTGGTTTTTTTAGCTAGTGGTGGTGTTTTACCATTTTCAGTGCTTTGGAGATCATTCTAAACAAGTCTCTCATTTAAAAAAAAACAAACCTGTATGGGTATTGCATTAGCCATTAATTTCCATACATGTACTTGCAATGAGCGCAGAAAAACATTCAACTTCAAGTCATGTATTTCAGTTCCCAGTAACTACTAGAATAGTAATGTTGGCAGAAGAGTGCCCTTTCAATAGAGGTTTTACTCTTTTTTTTTTGTTGTTGTTGTTGTCTTCCTCTTCTTTTTGTTTTTAGCCACCAGCTAAATACCTCCTGCCAGAACTGACAGCATCAGACTACGGGAAGAAGTGTGTGGTCATTGATTTAGATGAAACTTTAGTGCACAGTTCATTTAAGGTAAGTAAATTCAAAAAGCGCTATTTTGCAACTTGAATCTGTCAGTGAATGTTGTAGGAACTGTTAAGCCTCTTAACACCTTAACTAGTCTTACAGGTTCCCCAGGGTGCCTGGTAGTCCTCGTCGTTACTCCTGTGAGTATTCATTCTAATTTAGCTGTAAGGGGAGTAACACAGACATTGTATTTTTTTTTTTTTTGGTTCTGAGAAAGTCACGCCGACTGCAGCAAGGCCTTGAATGTTCTTGGGTTTATAGCTTTAAATGGTGGCTATTCTAACAAGGACCTGTATTCTAACAGGTACAAAACTTGTTGCTCTGAAGATACGGTTTCATTTTTTGATGTTTAAATGATGCCGTAGTTAGTCTAGGAGAATGGAAATTCAGCACAGCTTTAGGCTAGGGAGATGTCCCTTAAACAGTAGATTTTGGGCCCCAGCGATTGCTGTGCTCTGATGCTGGAGAAGATTGCTTTCCCTGTCCGGCTGCTGTACCCGTCGCAGTATTTTTAAGTATTTACCTTTCACAACAGGAAAGCAAATAGCATTTAGCTGCTGCTACTGAGTCAGTCAGTCATCTTGGAGAAGCAACTTTTATAACTCTTCAGAATTCAGCATGTGGTGGAAGTAGTGGTATTTTTCTATTGTTTAAGTAGGGCTAAAGTTAGAACAGGAGAATTCAGAAATACAAATAACTTAAATTGGCTCAGAGTACTGTAGTATTTCTGATTGGCGAATGTCAGACATAATGAAGCATCTGCTAGTTTTATACTTCTATATTGGAGATTTTTTAGGAATCGATAGTATGTTTCCTTACTAGATAGAGGCACCACCAACTTTATAGTCTTCTAGTTTTGGTTGTATTCCCATTTTTCACAGCTAGCATAAACTCAGCATTCTAATCCTGCAACATTTAGTTGCCAGAATTTAAATATGCAAACCATAATTCCTATTGTGGTTAGAATTTAGTAACAGCCTGTCTTTGGTGACTTAAAGATGACCTTATATGGAGATAACTAGAACAAAAATTCCCGTGCCTCAAACTGAAACTAAGATTCTTCTCTGTCTTTATTGTGCCTAATGGTATACAACAATTTGTGGTGGTGTACAGGAGCCTCTTAACCTCAGTGCCAGATCTTTGTCTTCTATACCCAGGCTGAACTTGCACATGAGAATTTTTCAGGGGGACTAGAAACACAGCTGGATTGGGGAGGGACTGTGGCTTCCTAATTAAATGAGAGTCAAAAATAGGAAGGGAAAGCTGAATTTAAAAGTCTAAATTTGCCTAAAAATAGTGAAGTATTAGGCTTAGTGTTATCTGAAATGTAAAAATACAAGTTTGTTTTCTGAATGCTGTAGGTAACTTTGTACTGTGATTTTTCTGGGTTTTGAAACAAAATGAGATTCGATTTTAGGTGACTACTAATTTTTTTAACCATTTTCAAGAAATACATGTTTAATGATTGACATAGTTTAAAGCTTTTCTTGTAGGATTGAGGTTTGCTTTTATTGCAGAGTCCTTTCTTTGTGGGCTCATTTTAATCATCTCATTTATTCAAATGATATTTAATGGGTATTTAAATGATGTTAAACAGATATTTAAGAAAAATTGAAAGGTTATTCTGCTTAGTCTTGAACACTGAACAATGTGCTAGGAAAAAAACTGGTCCTTTTTTCTGTGGAGTAAATAGTGTGAGGCGAACGTAGGAATTTCTGCAGTATGAGAGTCTTAGGGCTATGACGGCGTTATCTTAATGGGAAGCCCTGTGGTGGGAGTATGTGAGAGAAGACCAATGTTGGAGGAGATGGCTTTAGTAGTTTATTGGCTGCACTGTCCAGTGGTGCTGTTTGGGTTTTGTTTCATAAAGGGCCATAGTGGCCATCAAAAATAACAATGGATTTCCAGAAAAGCAGGGGGGTTAACACTGCTCTGCCTGAATAGTCAAATCACTTTTGCTGTTTCTCTCGGTTGGTGGGTTTTTTTCACTAAAACATGTCTGCTCTACCAGGCAGGTCCCCACTTAAAAGCTGTAAAAGTATACATAAATTTGTGATTTTTAGTACAAAAGGCTTTATTTAAAACACACGATGTTTTAGAATTCATAATTCTATTATGAAATAGGCTTCATATTTCAAATGCAGATAATATTTTTTTTTAAACACAATCAGAGAAGCAGAGTATTTAAAGTGCTCTTTTATGAAAGCAGCAACATCTGAAGGAGGGTAATTCTTGTCTTTTTATGTCCCTGCATATTTGTGAAGCTTTAAGGAGGTACTAGTCTTTCATGTTAAGTGCATATTAAAGGAATAAAGTTTGGGGTGCTTTGGCAAGAGTAAAAAAGGAATAGATAGACATTATAGTTATCGTTCCCATCATAAAACAATAATAGAAGCAAAAATCATAAATTATTAAATCAAGGAGATGTAAATGTGGTTTTGTATAAAATTAATTAAACCACATGCAAGTCTGGAATGCAGTCATATTCAAAACTGGCTGTGAAACTCTTTTCAAACATTTAAAACTCTGAAGCTTTTTATGAAATAGAAACAGTTCTAACTGAAGTAAAGATTTTCAACAGAAATACGTTGTCTTCTTTCACACTCTCTCTGCGGTTCCCACTCGAGGCATGTACGTGCTTCACATGTGCAGCCCCAGAAACCTTCATCCAGGAAACTGTTGCAGACTTTTCTCCTGTCTGCCCATCCTGATGAAGCACAGAGCCCCAGTCCACGCTGTCTTCCTTACTGCTTGTGCCAACAAGAAGGCTACATAGTGCCTAAAATACGAGCAGGGGAAGCAAATATGTAGTTCAGAGCAGTTTGGTTGGTCTTATAAAGTCTAAGGGTGAGTTTTATTTGTTAGCAAAAATTAAGTGCTCTAAACAGAATGTAGTTTTCTCTGACACCTGGTGGGTGTTGCTCCTCTTAAAGTTCAGTAATAGCTATATTTTTATCAGTGGGTTTCAAAACCTTTGTAACTTGCAGTGACCTTTTTCTGCTGCTACAGAATATTTATCTTGCTTAAGGGCGTCATGCATATATAAATTCTTCAAGTGCGTGCAAGTCTCTTCGAAGTATGCACGGAGCTGGCACCCACTTGAAACCTTTGGTGGCTAAGTCTTACTGACAGTTCATTTGGGTTTCTTTTAAGGTGAAGCTTCAGAACATTTTTGTGTAGCTGTTCTGTGGCTAATAGAGACGCTGCAGAGTATCTTCTGTGTCTGAGGGGCTTCATGTAGGTAACAGATGGGAGCCTCCTCTGTCTTTTTCAGAAGCAGAAAAGGGGATAGATCTTGGAAACTGCTTGATGTCAACTAAAAAAAAAAAGCTAGATTGTATCTGCAGGGATTTGAGGAATTCTTTAGATCATACTAGCACAATGGTCATCAACAGGATGGAGTTTTCCAGCATAGGCTGCTTGCGAGGTTTAGTTGCCAATACTGGTTGGTCAGGATGAGTAGATTCAGCGTAGCTCCTCATTTGCCCTCTGACGCAGCACTTGCAGACGTCGGATCAAACTATCGTCCTTGTTACTTCGCTACTGAGAGAAGGTGTTATGCTCCGTGCAAATTCTTACAGTCATTTTGCTCTCCTCGCAGGAAGGTTATTTGACACAAGAATTAGAATCTCGTTTTTCCAGGGAATGGGATCAAAGTGATGCTATCAGGTTAATACTGCCGGATTCTTTTTTCCTCCCATTTTTCAGAGAGCACCTGGTTAGGCTCACCAGTTTGTGATCAACTTCTCGGTCTCTTTACCTTGGCTGTGTCTCTGCTTTCTTGGCACCCCTTTCCCCCCACCCCCCCACCAAATGGATTTGAAGACTGTTTCTAGTCTTGCAGATTCTTCAGGGACACCTCCTTGGTGGTACTTGAGTTCAATCTGTTGGCTGATCCAGAAAACCAGGTGGGAAAGTCTCTGCAAGTCCAATAGAGCTGAGTGAAGATATTTTCTAACCTTAGTAATGTCATACCAGTTACCAGCAGGCTACTCCCAGCCTTCGTTTTAGGCTGTTAGCCATGAAGATTATTGTCTGTTAATCAGTTCTGTCAAAACTTTATTTGGCAACTCTGTGTCTCAGCCATTTCCAAGCTGCAAGTCACTGGGTGAGTTTCAAACTTCAGCTGGGCATGTTTACATGATTTTTTTTTTATCACGGACGTAATGCGTGAGCTGTACCAAAGGATTCTGCCAAGTTTGATGCCCACTTGAACTAGTAAACATTCTTAGCTACCACTACTGCCAAGCCAAGAGTAGATTGTGTACTCTTAAAACTGTCTACAAGGTCGTTTTTCTGCTTTCCAAAGTCATATTCCTATACCAGCAGTTTCTCACTGTAAGTCTTAAGAAATAGGTTGTATCCAGCAGGCTAGAAAAATGGATTTGAGGACTTGGACAGAGCATGCCTGCTCTTCCCTTTTGAATTAAAATGCTTTGGTTTATATGATTAATTTGATTGGTATAGCATGTTCTTGAGTATCACATCTTGACAATCATTCAGCTATACAACTTAAGTCTTCCTGATTCAAATACAACCTTTACGTATTACTTTTACCACTGTCTTTATTTTTAATTAATTACTAACTGATGACCCAGAGCAGAATATGTGAGGCAGATAGCTGAATTTCTTTGTCATCATCCACACAGACTTGATGAAAGAGTTATCCAAACAGATTTTTATCCTGGTAGTGGGGATTATTCAAGCAGTAAAGTGTATTACATTGTATGAAGCTTAAACAGATAAGGGAAGAGGGAGGAAACGCAGTATCTGGTGAGTACAGCTGTATAAGTCTTCTGGCTTGTCTGTGTAAAAGGGCACATATACAGAGTGGATTTGTGTAATCAATAATGCTTATTAACTTCTTCCTGTGAAGTAAGTACTCTTTTCTTTTACACCTCTGAAACTTTCCCTTGAATGATCTTATTTTTAACGTTGATTTATTTCCTTGTCATTCTTTCTAGCCGATTAGCAATGCTGATTTCATTGTTCCTGTTGAAATTGATGGAACCATACATCAGGTAAGCGCCGTTGTTCCTCTAGTGATATTGTAGAAGTGGAGCTGTCCTCAGTGGCCCAGAGCGTTAGCTTTCTCCATTTGCTGCATTACATTCAATAACGTGTCCTTTTGCAAAATAAAAAGCTGCGTACTCTGGAATGTATCATCCGGACAGGCGTCCCTGTTTGATCACGTATGTAGTTTCTAACTACTGAGTCTCAGTTTTAACTTTTTTCAGTTCTCCAGAATCTCTCTCTCAGGATTTCAATACCTGACTCTTTGTCAATTTTAAAGCATTTTCAAACAGGATCTAAGGATGGGTTTTCAAACATTGCTAAGCCCAGAAAAAACCTACTTGAATGCTGCATTTCTCCTTCCCTCCACAGACAAACAGGACATAAGTTGATGTTAACGTCTGTTGGTAGTTCATATGGTCAAAGCTTTATTAAAGTATTAAGGAAGAACAGACATTTCTTCAGTTTTTGTGGCAATCTGTGTTTAAGTTCTGTCCCCTTTTCTTTCTGTAAGTAATTTAAGTTCCTCTGATGGGACTTTTTATACACTTCAGCATCTATAAAAGGTCCAGAGAAAATTGCAAGGAGACTAATTTTTATGTCTTATTCTTTAAAAACTTCACTTAAGACTGTGAAATGTTTTTCAGTAAATGCAAAACACCCATAATTTGAAAATCGGTCCCCTTCATGTATCTTAGCTTGGTGTCTTTAATCAGCAGTCATTTCTGAAAATGTTAAATGAAATAAATTCCAGTGCCATAAATTTTCCTCTTCAGACAGACATTAAAGTTCTTGCCGGAGACGGGTTTTACTGGTTAATGCGAAGTTGAGCCTTTCTGATATATGAATCTTGCAAATTGTTTGAAACATCTTTTCTTGGTTGTTGTAGGTTAAAGATAATGCAGTTATTGAGTTGCACATCTTCCCTGGATGTAATTTAATGGGTATTTTAAATACTTCAGTTTTGAAATGTCTTTTATGTGGATTATTTTTACTTGGACAAATAGGTTCATATTTTGATCTTGGCATAATTGATAGATCATAAAGTTAGCTCATAGTTTTCTTCAGTTTCCTGCCATGAGAACTATCCATGTGGTTGTCACTCTTAAAATAATTACTAAATATCAGTCACTGGACTGAAACATGTTTTAAAGTGATAGGTGTTCGACAGTTTCTACACTGTGCTTGTTCTGTATAGAAAAATTCAATATTGTGGGTACTTACACCTATAATGTTCACTAGAGCTGAATGCTTAAAACACGTTCTGGGAGATTTATATTGTGATATTGTCTATCCTCATTTGATGTGGGCTTTAATGGTGTTTGGTGCTGTAACACAGACATTTTCTCTCTTAAAACTTTCTAGTATGCTTTTGAAAGGGAATAAAATAGGTTGGGTAACAATTTTGAATGGCTTAAGATTTTGATCACTTAGCTTGTCAAGATTATGTTTACATTTGGAAATGAAACCCAATAAAAGACTATTTGGGCTTTACAGTCAAGCACTTCAAAAGCCTGTTGCTTTTCCGTTCCCCGCTGCAAATTTTCAGATTCGTCACCAAACATAATGCAGTTAGGCACTCAAGATGACTGCATATGGGAAAAAAAACCAAAAAAACAACACAGCTGGTCAAAGGGAGTGGATTTGTCCATACCCTAAATGTGAATGGGAGGAAGGATGCTCTTGTCTCTGACTGTGATTTGCTGGAGACTTCCTGCATCATTTTCAAGGAAATTGCTTAATCTCTTGGTATTTCAAGTTCTTAATCTCTGAAACAGGTAAAAATCTCAGTCACATCTGGGTAGTAGAAATTAAGTTAACTGTAAGGAATTTGTGATTCTTGAAGTAAAAGTAATTTATATGGTATGCAGAATAGGCAAAGTCTTGGAGTCCTGTGTTTGTAATCACCTCTGCAAGCAAAGTAGAATACTATCATCCAGCAATCTTGGAGTTTTTAACTGTGATAATCTAAAGGGCAAAAAGGAACGTTCTGGCTTAGTTTGATGTGCATTTACACAGGCTATAGAGCTTTGACAACCACTTCAAACCTGTAATTTTTTATTCATTCAGAGCATAAACTGTACAGTTATCAACAATTTTTGTTCTCTGTTAGAATTCGTCATCTGGATAATGCTTGTCCATTTTCTTAAGCAGTTTATAAACTCAAAGATTAATCATCGGCATTGGGAAATACTCCCACCCGTTTAAAATATCATGGGATATATGAAATGTTGTGGAACCGTACTGTCCACATACCAGTGACCTGGTATCTTACCAAGCAGGAGATTGTCTGACAGAGTATTGTTGTACTTGAACTCTGCCTTAGACAGAACCCCATGGAAAACAAATGGAGAACACCCTTTCAGAAGTGCCCATTCAGAAAGAAATTTGAAATTTTACGAGGTTCTTCAGATCTCATATAGCAAAAATACAAGCTGTGGCTTGCATTCAATTGCTATACATTTGAAAGAGTTTTGAGACTGACTTATCTGACAAGTTTTGTTCATGGTAAATGTTGTAATGTTCTGTCATGCAACAGAAGTATTCAAAAAAGGCTGTCTTTAGTTTGGGGAGTTTATTTTCCCTTGTGTCATTTATAATCCAAAGGTCAGAGAGACTCTTGTTCTTCTATAGGGAGGACAATACAAATCATCATTTTAAAGGGTGCTTGGGTAGACCAGCTTCCCTAGATTTAAAAATAGCTTTTCTGAACACTCCCTGTCCCTCTCCCATCATTCTTTCTCTAGCTTAATTTACCTTGTCTTTAGAAAGGATTTGACATTTTATTTTACAAGGAACTAACTCATGTGTGGAGGTGCCTCTCTTTCCTTCTGTCATGGGTCTTTAGATGCGTGCAGAGACTGTGCCTGTCTACAGGGCAGCTAAAGTTACAGGAGATGAATCCCACGCTTTGTGTTGGAAATGATGGCGTGGATACAAAAGGGCAGTTCTAATGCAAGCTGACACTTTTCTGGCCAGTTCTCTCATTTCTCTCTGGTTCTCTGAGTAAAAAGAAATCAGAACTGATCCCCTGCTCTACCAAATTGTAAGTGAGAAACTGGGGGAAGTCCAGTGAAATGTGTTGCAGCTGAGCGTGCACTTTAGAGGAAGTTTATTGAGGATGAAAGTAGCGGGTGGAGAAAAGATGTTCGACCTGTTTGGTACCCTTGACATAACTTCTGCAAGACCACATCCTCTCTTTTGATGCATGCTTCCCATTTAACAAGTGCAGAGCGTTCACAACCCCCAGATTAGAAACTGTGTGTTAGATATAGCTTTAATCCCCAGTGAGTGAAGATTTTTAGGGTATGGTGGTCCCTTGTCTTTCATCCAGATTGACTTGCAGTGTGCCTTGCTGCCAGTGTCAAAGAGAAAAGAGGGCAGCAAGGAAGAGTTTGATTTGGTGTTACTTGGAGTTTCGTTCTTGAATGTAATTTGTTTAATGTGTAAAACTAGTTTTTAAGTGTGGGTTTGTTTTGGTTTGGTTTTTTTAATTCAATTAACAATTGCTTATTTTTAGTTGTTGAAAGCTAAACAAAGTTTGGTGTGTATACTTTGAACATAATGCACAAAATGGTTTTTATTGGTAGGGGAAAACGCCGTTCGAATAATAACCTTCCTTCCTATAAAGGACAAAATTCATTGATTTTTCTTACAGAAGGCTGTGGCCTGGTTCAAGTAATCCAGGATAGGCTGTATCCAATCTAGCTGGCCTATTCTTGGTTACTTGCACTGGGAGGCAACCACAACTGTGTGAACCAGAAAGACGAGGCTCAAGGATGCGTCTTATTTTCTGCTCACTGTTAAGAAGATGCGCCCAGCCCACAAAACAGGAGATGACAGCAGCTTGAGTTGTCATGGGCAGATTTCTTTGTCGTTACTTGAAGATTTTGTTACTGTAAAGCTGGTTTTGACAGGCAATTCATTGTGTCCTGTTTAATTGATAAAGATGAACTGGGTTTCTCTTTCAGTTTCCAAATACTGAGTCTTTTTAGGTTAAGACTGCTTTGAGGTATAGAAAATGTATGTGGAAATACCAAATGCTTGAAAACAATTAAAGATAATTACTTGTGTTCTGCCATTAGCAGCTGTAACTACACAATCCTGTGAAAACATGCCTAGTGCCTTAACATTTTAGGAGTAGAGTTCATTTTAAATAATAATTAAAAAAAGACTGTATTCTTCTAAATTCAAACTGTGATAAGGAAGAAATTAGGAGCATACAATACAAAAAAACTGGAGGGTTGTTTGTTGGGTTTTTTTTAATGCCCTGAAGACACTATATAAATGTCAGAAAAATGCCAGGAGCCAGTTTGTCTAGAGACCTAAACTGAAGACATCAGGCAACGGAGGAAAAAGCTAAGCCACGAATAACCATGCGGCATTGAGATGCAAGTCCAGCTGCTAACAAAGTAAAGGGGAAAAAAATTCCAAATGAGGAGGAAGAGGAGAAAAGAGCTGCACTGTCAGCTGAAGAGAGCTTTCTATGTGAAGTAAACCAAAGAGATTTTGTAGCCTAGGATACCAATACACTTGCAGTTGCTTCCAGGATCTAAGTAGGACTTCTCAAAAAAACATCAAGGGGAATAACCATACAGAGTATTAAGATACATTGTTCTGCAAAAAATTGTTGTGCTTTGTTTAGGTGTTTTTTTAAAAGAGGGGAGGTGAAGGAGTTGGGGGTCTTTAGAGAGGGTGAGAATTAAGGGCAAAAATTTGGTGAGACCTCATGCTAAGAGCTGACATTTATTATTAATAAGGCATTTAACATGAAGGGTGAATCTGTTGGCCAGAGCCCAGTAAGTAAGATTTAAGGCAGAACAGCAAGAAAAGCTCAAGTAGAGGAGGTTGAGGGTGTTCTGTGGTGGATCAGGAGGCCCAAACTGCAGAGGGGAGACAATACAACTTAAAAATGCTGTGTACTTACAGCTACTACTGACTAGTTGCAGTATTAGGAGACCTACAGATTGCCAAAAGAACACGTATTGCAAATACTTGATTTTATAAGTCCGCTCCTGTCCGCCAGCCTGTGGTTAAGGAGCTCTCGGTCTGTAGCTGCTGGGTTGGTGTGCGGTGTGCTCTCTTTATGGAGGAGGTCGTTGTGTTGCAAGCAGCAAAGTACATATCCTTGGCTTGGGGTTTGTAATTACATTGCACATGGAAGTACTTCACAGACACGGGCATAGACAGGGATGGAGACCGAAGAGGAGACTTCTGCTGCTGTGGCTGAAAACACTAGGTTTTTAAAGGGAAATTCTTACTAAATTCTAGCACTTACTATCCAAGAATGACTTTGAGACTCTGGGGTGTCCCTTTTGTCCCCTCAAAAGTAAGTGTAGGAATATAATTTAAGGCTAAAGAATTAAGAACTTCATTAGTAACTGTAGAATTACTCCTTAACTTGCATCCTGCTACCTTTCCTCTTCTACGTGGCAAGTTGGACAGTCTCTTTCCGGGTACTCAAACACAGAGGGACTGCAGATGTCTTTCCACCTGTGTCTTTGAAAATTTGAAGATATAATTTGGAAAGGAAATATTGCAGGACAACTTTGTGTAGTAAGATTTAAGTGAAAAATCAATTGCATTGTTACAGGAGAGGAAATCGCTTGGTTTATGCCTGGTGAAATACAGGAGACTTTGCTGTAGTTACCTGGAAAGAGAGCAACATGGAAGTACATCTGTTAACTGTCTTTAATTCATAAAATTTCACATTTATTTAATTGATTGGTGAAGTGCTACTGTGATTGTTTAAAAGAAAAAAAAACAGCTCGGGGTTATAAATTACTATCTGTATCAAAGTTTGAATGTATTGCTTGAATTTGAGGGGCCAGAAATAGCTTAGTTAAACTTCATAGAAATAACTTAAAGCAGATCATGTCTTCATGCTAAAGTGGAAAAGTAATAAACGTTTTTGCTTTGGTCATTAAGGTACAACTCCATCATACATGTTTTTAATAAAACTTTGCTTTCGGATTTAGGTTTTCAATTTCAAGTCCCTATTATGCAACCTTTTTTCTTTTGCTAAAGGCTTTATTTGTTACCCCTTAGTTCAAGCTAGCATCTCCATATTTTCCTCCTTCAGGCTTTTTCTCTGGATGCCTTACGTTTTTTACATCTTTATTAATAGGATCTAGTAAAATACATACAGTTAATCTAGTTCTACATATCAAAGAAAGAAATTCCTGAAATTGCATCAGTCTTTCAATTCTTCCTGAATTCAGTTATATGCCTGACTTCTCCACTTGAAATTTCTAGTATTAAGGATCATTTGCCAAAGAAAGAAAATAAAATGCTGCCAGTGTTTTCTCTCAAACTTTTAATCTAAGTCTAAACAAGATAAAAAAATATTTTTCAAGCAGACTCCCCTCTTCAGCTTCCCAGTATATTGTTGACTACTCGTAAGCTTTCTGAGCAGCAGTTATCTTGGTATTTTCCATGAACACAAATCATCTTCCTTGCTCAGAAAAGAGAAGCAAGGAGACTCTAGTATCTATTAATCAGATTGTTGACAGTAGGCAGCCAAGCTTGCCTGTATGGTTGTCAGTGCAGAAAGGGAAGATAGTATTGCTGAAACCGAACTGCTCAAGAGGGGAGAGATCCTGAGTATTTATCGTCTTTATGGCAAGGACACAATAGAAGATGCTGTAGACCTTGCCACCAAATTTTGAAAGCAGTGTTTGCTAGACACTCTGCATGGTGCTATGAAGGTTTTTTGGTGAGAGCTCTCTGCAGAGCCGCGTGACCGATAACTATCCATAGTGAGATATGGTACTTAGCGCCTGGAACTTAAAAAATGAAAGAATTAGCCACAGGAAGAAGACAGTTCTCTGTTGTGCAATTCCTGTCATCATAGAGGTTTCATCTGATTTATTCCTTCTGTAAAGCCCTTCAGGACTGAAGACACCAGCACCAAAATTGTTTTGGTTGAGAGATCTGAATCCTTGCTTCTTGAGAAGCCCTACTGTCTCTCTTTGCCTTTAATGAGATTTTTCAAGAGGCATCACTCCAGATGATGCACAGTATTTGCAATTGCATAATCAGCAGGGGTCTTGGCAGCCCATGCGTTCAAATTTCTCATTATTGGATGTCTACTTTTATCTTGTATACTTATTTTTTCTTTCAGCATTTCATTTGAACTGCTTCCATACTAACTTTTGTTTCTTCAAGGGTTAGGAGTTACAGGAGGGGTTTGTTTTGTTCTGTTTTGTTTTTTCCTTTTACCTTAAACACCATTTCACCTACGTAGTCCTTGTCATTCCAGGTTTATGTGTTGAAACGACCACATGTGGATGAGTTTCTTCAGAGGATGGGAGAGCTCTTTGAATGTGTACTCTTCACAGCCAGTCTAGCCAAGGTTTGTTCCTCTCTTCATCTCAGTAGCCCTTACGGTGCTGGTCAGTGGACTTTTGGTTGAGTTTTCTATGGATAATCATTTCTGCAGTTGGTACTAAATTTTTCCCCTTCTTTTTTGCTTCTTTGTCTGACAGTGTGTACTTTGTCTGCTAGTGTGTGGGTAAGTGTTTCCATGGTAACACCATCACATATGGGCTTGTCTCATAATGTAGCCTCCATGCATTGCTCATAATGCCAATATGAAAGGCTTACAAGTTACCATGGTTATAGTGAGAAATTAGAACAAATAGCGTGTGAGTAAAGCACTATATTAAAGCCGGGCATGAAATAAAATACACTGTATTGAACGCTATCTACGTGACCAACCAGTGATTCAGAAATTTACTGCATATGAAAATTGGGAACACGTTTTTGTTCTGTCAAGGTGCAATTGCAATCTGGAGTTAGAAAATCAGACACTGTAAAGCTTGAAACTTCAACAGGAATATTTTGTGCCCTCTGGTTTCCAGTAGCAGTAGTACCTCGTAGGTAGTTTTGTGGTAGATATTTACAGTAGTAGACATCTTAAATTCTTCACTTCTTTCAGTGTATTGTATTTGTGGTGTCTTGTTTGTAAAATTATATTGACTATTTCTAAATAATACTCTAGCATAGTAAGCTTTTACTCCAACCTAGTGTAGAGATGGTGGAAGGGAATGAGACCCTGTTTGATCTGCTATAGTGCCACCTTATCAGAGGATTCTTCCCTGCGCGCCGTTTGCCTTGTTCTGTTGAGTCACGCTGTGAAAATCCTAAATAATGAAACAATTTCATACTGCAGTTAGATGTCTGGCAGTTTTCATAGTCGAGAGATGATTGATTTCAACATCAGGTTTCTTCCTCAATTTAAAATATAGGAAAATGGTAACTCCTATCCTGCAAAAATAAGTTATAAGTACCATTTTCAAGTACACAGTTATTTCATGTTCTGGTTTATTTGGGTACTTTTCCTGGGACAGTTTATATCAATTGTTGGATTCTAAACTGTGCCTCACTTAAAGTATCATATATAAAATGAGAATTTCCCACTACTGTACCTGGGTGTTTTTCCTAATAACATCTTTGTCTGATCTTTTATGGCCCAATTGTGCAATTTGGTAATCTCAAGATTTTTACTGACCCAAGTGCCTCCATGGACATCATTTGAAAAACTGCATCAAGCTGACGTGCCTTCATTGCAGTTTGTCTTCAGAGGCTGTGGAATTGGCTTAATATAGATTTTCTGGTTTTATGGTAACGTTAGGTGAGAGCTCTGGATCTAGGTGACTTGTAGGGTAATTATAAGTTGCCCCTAAGAATAAAAACTAATTGATAAATCACAGAAAACATTGGAGCGCAAGTTAGCCTTCCATAAAAGGATAACTGTCCTACTTTTGCATTATCTCTCTATTAATCACTTCAGGTTTGCAGGCATGTAAGTTAATTAACAAGGAGCAGGGAAGAAAATGGAGAAAGGGCATTTTATCTGAAATTATTTTGTGTCTCTCCTTTGTATAGTTCTGTGAATTAGCCTTATCTCCACATTGCTAACTTCAGGTTTCTAACTTCTATTTTTAAGTATGCAGACCCAGTAGCCGACTTACTGGATCGCTGGGGTGTGTTCAGGGCGAGGCTCTTTAGAGAATCCTGTGTTTTCCACCGAGGAAATTATGTGAAGGATCTGAGTCGACTGGGACGTGAGCTGAGTAAAGTTATTATAGTAGATAATTCTCCTGCATCTTACATCTTCCATCCTGAAAATGCAGTAAGTATTGTTAGTATTCAAAGTACCCAAGCGTAACTTTATCTTTCTGCTCTTTGCCCAGGCTTTCTGATTCAGAAAATAGCCTTTCAGAACAATAATTGTATTAGTTTCTGTATATTTTTTTTTAGATTGCAGGTAGGTTCTGGTATTCACTGCTGAATGGCGAAGGACTAGGGCAAACTGATCTTGACAGTGTATCATAGTCATGACTGTTGATCCACTTTCAGTTTTAGCTTTTGGCATGAAATCCATCAGTTCTGAGAAACACCAAGCAGTGCAGAACCTGAATAACTAACCTAGCTCTAAAAAGCGAAGCTGCCCTCCAGCTTAGTTGGAGTGATTATTACAGAAAGGATAGTTTCCTTGACCTGCTTTTGGTACTCCATCTTTTTTCATTGTTTGAATGAAAGTATTTTACTGGACAAGATAATTAGTGCTTTACTGGTTACTATCTGAATTCTGGATTCGTGGCTAAGGGGAAGAAGAAAAATTAAGATCCTGTTGTGATGCTATGCTTCTCCTTTTAAGTATTTCTGTGATAACTCACTTCATCAATAGAAATGTTAGTCAACAAGTTCATCAAGTTTTAGGACTAAGGATAAAAGGCAGGCAGCAGTACTTCATGGGAGACTAATTAAGAGCAATGTGCATTTTCACTATGTGTTTCACATCGGCTCCAGAAGCTGGGATGGAATGGTCTGGCACTTGCTGCATCCATTGGTGCAGTCAGTGCAGATGCTCACATCTGTTTCAGGATAACAAGCGGGAACTCACCTTAGATCTACTGACTTTTAAACAACCAGGCTGTGCAATGTTTTCTTTGATGTTTTTAGGCTGCCTTTTTTGTGAACTGTTAAAATTAACTTAGGAAAATATTATCAGGAACACTGTTTTGCATGGTCCTGCCTCTCCAGAATAGCATTTATTACTTTTTTTTTTTTTTTTAACATGAGCTATTTATCTTGCAGCAATCAGCTTTTAAATTCAGATCTTAGTACTGTGATGCCCTAAGTGATTGGGCAAAAACCTTTTTCTGGTTGTTGCCACACGTGGTTTAAAGTTGCTATTTATAATAACCAGGAGCTGTAGCTCTAATTTATGTTCATGGTTAAAATTAAAAAGCTGATCCAGATCATCATTTGGTATCTCAGAATTCAGTGCCAAGAAAATAATGAGCTGTAGAAATTTGGGAGATGAAATTAAGGGCCTTGTCAGAGTGGTTTAATCATGTATAGAAAAGTGTTGTTAGCTAACTGATACTCGAGTCTCTGCAGAAACCAGAGCTTGTAACAAGATCCAAGGTAGTCTTTAAAAGCCCTCAGTATACTTCCTTAGTGAAGATACACAGAACTCCTTCCCCAAACCCAGCCCACATATTTAAGAAGTGTTATTATATGCATTATTTTCTGAGCCTGTGCTCAAGGTCTTGTATTTCAATCGGAGAACTGTTCTGTACTCACTGTTTAAATATGCTTTCCGCAGCCTGATGCCAGCAGGGGTTGTTGCTGCATGCCTATGGTTGGTGACTCACGCTGATAATACTTAGAGGGGAAAAAAAGACTTGCCAGTAAATAAAGTGTTAGTACAGCTTCATAACCTGTATCTTCCTGCCAGTCTATTCTGCATATCAAGGAAGCAGAGCAAATTGAGCTGTCCACTGTTGGGTCTTTTTTTTCGTGTAGGTTACCTGGACATGTAGAAGGTCAGCTGCATGTCAGCTGGTTTACAGTTGGATTTGGAAGGTCAACTGTTCTACGGTTGGATTTGGGGTTGATGTTGCGTACTAGAAAATGTGGACTTGAACCTGGTACTCCACTTGAATGCTAATGACCAGCAATTTGCCTTACTGTGATGGCAGTGAGTATTACAGGACACCTGCACAGGCAAAACTCCAATGTTCTTCACGTCGTAAAGCCATCTTAATATTACTGGTTGCTTTGTTTCAGGTGCCTGTGCAGTCCTGGTTTGATGACATGACAGACACAGAGCTGCTAGATCTTATTCCTTTCTTTGAAGGACTAAGCAAAGAGGAAGAAGTTTACAGTATGCTTCATAAACTCTGCAACAGGTAGCCCTTAACTTTGACTGACTTCTGCTACTAGATTGCAGTTGCTAGAGGCTGTCTCCATCTTTTTCAGCTCTTTCAAATATAAGTGTTGGGGAGGTCACCCCTGTCAGAAGTGCTACTCTTGATCTTCCTGTTACATTGGACACGAAGGACAATCATGAGTGATGCTATTAAGCCTTCAGAAGCCTGACTCCTAAGGTCATGTGTTCAGACTACTTTTTTAAAGGAAAAAAAAAAAAGAAGCTATTTTAAATGGGACTCTTTTAATGAATTTCATAAATGGACAACTTTTACTGGATCAGCTTTTCTTAAAACATGCCAAAAAAGAAGCTTGTATTTCAGCAGTTGAATTTCTCTCCCTTTCTTCCCCTCCCACTATGCAGACAATTTTACCCCCCTGCTTAGAGCAGTTGACCTGACTCTGAATTTTTTCTTACAGAATGAAGTGCCTTTTTGAATGTTATTTTAAGATAAAAATTCATTTTTGTATAAGACGTATTTCCAGACATCTTTTAGTCTTGTATTGTCTAAATGCTTTAAAAGGAAAAAGGAAAAATTTTATAGAGCACTGTAATATATAACAAAGGAAAAGTTGAAACAAAGATGCTGGGTTCCTGTCTCCACAACGACATTAAGTTGTATTACATTTTGTCATGCTCAGAAGGTTTAAGCGTTTGCGGGAGGGGTGATTTGGGTTGATTACATGGTTGTTTCACTGATACGATTTTGGGCACAGTTTTGAACATATCTGCAGTTGTTTGAGTATAGGGAATGATGGAATTGGGAAAATAAGGTGGCTAATAGATCTAAAGCACCTTTTCTTCTACGCAGATGAAGTTCTATTGTCTCTGCTTACGCACAACTGCCATGCCTCTCGTTTTTTGGAAAACCATTATCTTGGGAGAATGGGGAGGAGATCTATTTATTAGTTTAAGATTCTTTTCTTAAAAAACCCATCTGGGTAAGCTGGATCTGTATTGAGCTGTTTGGAGTACTTTTTTCTTTTAATTGCTGCTACTGTATACTCACCAAATGGAGTTGACCATCGGCTGTTATACTGTTTTTGCCACTGTGCCTGTGCTAGGAAACATTTTCTGTAAGCTGCAAACTTGGGCAATAAATAAAATGCAGGCTTCATAACCCACCCCTATGTATTAATCCTACGGTATTCGATATACCGGAGAACTCAGTTAAAGGTGACCTGCAAAGGAAATTTATATTATTATTTATATTTTTTTTCAATTGGAATGAAGCCCTCTCCTTTCTTTGGTATATAAAAATGCAAAAAGTATTCTTCCCATATCTCTGATTTGTCTGTCTTCTTCCTCAAGGTGTAAGGTACAGACTGGGAGCTTTATCAAGTCTTGGTAGAAGGACAGAAGTTACTAGTCTAGACTAAAAGTGGTCCTCTGGCTTTGGAGTTGAGTAAGTCTCATCTCTGAGAACCTGCTTAGTATCTTCTGCAGTGTCATAGGTACCCTTCCAAAAGAATAATTTTTAAATATTTAAGCCTTTGAAGAACAAGGCACACCTAATTTTTTTTCTTCCTTTCCAGTGTCACCTTTTAATTATTTCCCGCACCAGAAATGTACAAACATAAAACTTACAGCTACGTTTGGCTGTCATCAGAGAAAACGCAATGGAATAGTTGGTGCTTTTAATTAGCCTAGTGCTAAATTCTGAACAGTAGATCCCCTCCGCCTTTTCTGTTCTTCTTGAAAAGTCTCAGTGACTTGGAAAAAAAATTTTTTGCGATGGACTTGGATTGTCATCCGCGTCTAAAACATCGGTGAAGCAGCTTAACAAATTCATTCATAGAAGGGCAGGCCAGCCTACACAGGCAGTGAGTAGATTGTTGTAGGTGCAGTATAAAACTGAAAGATGACTTGCCCCCTTGCAGTGCAGCTGTGCTCCAGCTGCTCGCTGTGTCTCATAGCGAGGGATGTTAGAGGCAGTCCCGTGACACTCGTGAGTCTGTACGGCATCACCGTTTTGTTTTCTTACCAGTTGGCATTACCTTAGTACTGTATAATTCTGTGCCACAACAAAAGACAAAACTGTCAAATTTCAAAAAAAAAACAACCTACGTTGTTTAAAAAATGAAAAAAAAAAAAAAAGACGTATGGATTCTGGTTAGTCCATTAACGTTTATTTTCAGTTTAAAATTGTTTAATTTTGTATTTGACTTCAGAGTAATGAAACTGTAAGCTGCCAAAAAGTTGTTCTCTGAGCAGTATTTTCAACTGTGTTTGTAGCTTCTAGGCTTCAAATACAGTTTGCAGGGAAGTATTCAGGTTGTAGTTAGTTGTGCAGGTATGATAGGAATGGCTGAAAATATTCAAAGACTTTCTCGCTAGCATTAGACCAAACAATCTTCCAATTAGACAATAAATTACCCCACGGAGACATTGCCATTTAACGGTTGTGACCTGTTGTACGTGAGACATGTCATTAGTTTGCATTTATGAAAGCAGCGATTTCATGAACCAGTTGCCTTAAGTCTGTGAATGAATGTTGATTATTAAAGTGTCTTGTATTGTTTTAAAATCCACGTATAATGGACAACTGAACTTCTGCACCAGCTTCTGGAAGAACGGTTCCGATGATGTTCTGTACAACCATCCGTATTCTGTATTGTTTATCTGAGCTCTTGAAATCCACAAATTTCCAGAAAAAGCTTATTTTAACCGAGTTCAGCATTAACATGACACTTGGTGACAGTACAGAGGTGAAAAACAGCAACAGTTTTGATCTCTGCTAGTATCTTAAGGGTATTTTCTGTAACTTCTGATGAAATTTTTTTTTTTTTTTTTTTTTTTTTAAAACTCATTCCCATTGAAATAAAACTTGGAGTGTTCTGCAGTCAGGTTTGGACTTCCCTGGGTATTCAAATTTGGCCAAAGGGATCAAACTGTCATAGTTGTTTATTTTGACACTATCATCGTACTTGAAATTTCAAGTTTTGAGTTTGCGTGAATATACATACGCTATATATTTAGAGTTTCTAGATTTTAACAAAGCAATATAGTTCTGTCCATAAAGTCAGATAATGAGTGGAATGTTTGTAAAATTTGCAATACGGGTATTAGATTGTATTTTAAATACAAGATTTTAAAAATTAAAATAGGAAAAAATACTTGTTTCCTAAATCTCTTGCATATTTTGAAGTGCAGTTAATGGATGCAGATCACCAGGGCTGTTATAAACCCTGGTTTTCAATTCTATTTCTGGATATTATAGAAGTATTAAAGAGTCTTTTCCAGTTGGTCATTCTGTTCAGCTAAAGAAACGCTGCCTGGCCTGAAGTTCTGTTGTCCTTTTATGTTGGGTTAAAAAAGGTTTTTTGCCTGTATAGGTATTTTTAAATTAAGCTGTAAGGCAGAATGCCTTAGATTCTTGAAATTCAACTGAAGTGTTACGATTAAATTGCCATTTGTAAACTAGGGCTGTGCGCAGAATACTTGTTAACCACCAGGAAGCGTGGCAGGTTTTGAATGGAAGATCGTAGCAAATGTACAATATTGCTGTGTTCATTTAGGTAGCTTTGGAAGAATAATTTGTCTATTTGTTTTTGCCCTTTAATCTTTTTTTAAACAGCAAAGTTATACATGGAAGAAACTCAACACCTGAAGAAATTTGGTTATTAGTGTATGCAATCACTTTATCACAGCATGATTTTGATTAGACTGGTTGGGGACAATAAAGTATCTAAATGACACTGGTGTGTACTGATGTTGCAGCTTTTGAAATTTCAGTGTAAAAAAAAAAAAAATCTGTAGCTATATAATTTACAAACACATAATCCTATGTTTTACAGATTCTTTTTAAACTAATAAAACACAGTACCGCACAGCCCTATTTGTAAAACAAAAACAAGTTTGTGCCTCTGATTTCCAAGGTGCTGTGATGATACACCTTTGTGGGGCGAGGAGGGCAGGTGAGACTTGTGTGGGGCGATTGCTTAAAAATCTCTGGGCTAACTATGCAAAACTAGTTGTCAGTTTTCTGTTTCACGTTATATTGTAAAAATCCAGCTGACTTTTCTTCTTTCTTGTTAAAGATCTATTGGGAACTTCTTATCAGAGGAGTAAGCAATGGAAATGTTTCTTTCTTTTTTCTTTTTTTTTTTTTTTCTAATAATGGAGCTGTTTACACTTTAATGCAATGAACAATCCAGCGATACTTGAGAAACACTACAGATACCATATGAGTGTTTTCAGGAGAGAGAAGTGTTGTCAATCAGGTATTGAATGGTTTCTTTACTGTCACAAATAAAAATTTTTAACAATATAGTTACTTGTGCATGTAATACTTCTCTGGGAAAAAGAATTTCTGCACTTCTCCTGCAGTAATAGGCACTGCCCTAATTTGACAGGGACTTTATGCCTGCTAATGCACATCGGTGTTAGACAGTAAAATCACCCGTCTCTGTTCCACTCTCCTCCCCCTCTCCTCTTTTTAAGTCATGTATAGGATTCCTTATTGATTGCCCTGGCACCTGCTTGTGCAAACAGAGCTGATGAACTGCTGATGAACTCTGCTAAATAAATTGGTGGTGACTCTGGCAGATGTTCCAGCTATTTAGATCTCTTGGATGAGATCATACAATAATTTGTTCAAGTCTCAAAGCTGTGTGACTTCTTTTGAAGGGCTTACTTCAGCTTCTTGAATAGCTGTTCTTAACATCACTGCCATATCCAAATGAATACCTGAATAAAACACTTTATTTGGTTGGAAAGTCTATTTTGGGACTTTTTATCTGACACAGTAAGACTTAGGCAGAGCCTTCCTTTCTAGGAAAAGGCACATACTATTAATGCTTTATGAACAGAAAACCTCAGGCCTGTTAGAATAAGCAGCTGGCTCAAGAGAGCACATTAGTTGCAATTAAAAATATTTTTTATTTAGTTATTCCTGTGATGGGTTGGAATGACCTAGACTGCCTTTACTTTGTACTGGTGAGTTGGGGGGTTTGATTTATTTCTTTTTAGGTTGTTGGGTTTTTTTAGTTTTACCAATCTCCTTAGCTGCTCCATAGGATAAAGATGCCTTTCTTTCACTTAGTAAAACAAGCATTTCAAAATTCATAAACCAGCTCATTTATAGTGGTGAGAAAGATACAGTTGTTCTATCCTAGCTGATTGAAAGTAAGTGATCGCAAAATTGAATACACCATAGTCTATAAATGTGCCTCTATGCCTATGCCTTCCAATATTTTTTTTTTTTCCTTTTTATTGTGTTCTGACTCAGAAGGAAAGCCAACTGCTCTGAAATTCCCTGCAAGATGGGATAGGGCTTTTCCAGGTGGGCTGCAGCTCCAGGGGATCCCGCAATCTCCAGCAGTTTTCCTGGCAAGTGACCTTCGCCATCCAGACTTCCTCCCAACCCAGCCATGCTGGCAGGAGACCAGGCAAAGTTCTCCTGGACTCCTCTGTTGGTTCTGCTGGAGCTACTGGAAAATAAATGATCTTTGGGTAATATATTGTTTTGGACAGGTTGGCAAACTCAAACTTGAAAAGCTTCCGAGTGTGTTTTGTTTAAAGCCTTCTCGAGTGCTGTTTGGAAGGGAGCTGTGCTGAGGAGCGGGTTGTGCTGTAATTGCCTAATGCCCCGTTAAGCAGCGTTTCTGAAGCACGGGACGTACGCTAACATCTTGGACTTAACAGAGATCGATTTGACTCCGTACAGTAGGTCTGCATCTGCAATTACGTGCCTTCCCAAACAGCAATTTAAAAGGGTTAGATTTGGTCATCGCTTAAATCGGCAGCAAACTGAATTTTTGAGGTGATGGTTGTGTCACCTTAGCTGTATCTCCCGGACCTTGGTGGACCCTGTGCTGCAGTCATACAACAAGAGAAGTTGCTCTTCTCTCTGCAACGGGCATCGTTTAATTTTGCGACCGCCTTTTAATTTAGTGATGTAGACACATTTGATCAGGATGTAAATTGCAGGAAAATACTGGACAAAGAAATGAAACGCAGCTGGCCCCCGTCAGCCTTGCCCATCGTCTCGGGTGGACTCAGCTAGGACAAGGCTGTTGCTACTGGGGGCAAAGGAGTCACCGTTGAGGCAGAAACACGTCAGCCCCTCTGAGAACCGCTGTTCTTCCAGTTAATGAGGGTTGATCGTTTTGTTCATGCAAACCCAATGTGCATCAGCTATGAATTCCCAGCATTTCAGTAAACGTTGCACTCGAAGAGTCTGAGGGATGTTGGCAGAGTTACCGGCTTGACAATGGGTTGTTTTCCTTGTCAGATTTTAATGAGCTTTTGTGATAAAAACCGTATTTCTTTACAGTGTAACTTTGTGGGGGTTTTTCTCATGCTTTGATTCAGTTTGACAATAAACTCTGTTACTTTTTTCATCCTCTTCATG